GTCATTTTGTCTTGCGAATTTCATTCCCGATAACCTCAGACGATTATGAGACAGAAACGAAATAAGCAATGCAAAAATGTACATAATCTCTACGTTTAGCCGTATTGATCAGTAATCAGCGCGCCTTGTTGTTGTCAATGTTAGAGGAGTGGTTGAAAGTTATCATTAACATTAGATGTTTTGCGTAATGTTCCTTGTTCTATTTCGAAAGTGGCTGTAAATAACGCCTGATAGCCGATATCTTTTTAGTTTACCGAAGACTTCTCATCATTTATGAATTTAACAACTATCGCCTGCCTTACTGTGTGCATATCTAATGGCGTCACTAAATTTCGGGTCACAGTAGTGGAAAAATTTAAATCCGTTATTGACAGCCGCACACGTACACACACTCTCAAAGACTAACAAACACACACGCACACGCTCACACACACACACACACATATATATATATATATATATATATATATATATATATATATATATAGAGAGAGAGAGAGAGAGAGAGAGAGAGAGAGATGGGGAGGAGGGAGAGTCAGGATGCTGAAGGTAACATCAATCAGCTAAGTGACTAATTTTACTCATATTAATCGTATATATATATATATATATATATATATATATATATATATATATATATATATATATATATATATGAAGAAATATAGTCTTATGATGTGCTATATTCATGGGATAAAGTGCTCAATATCAGAGATAGAGTGTGTGTAAATATAAAAAGTGAACATAGAAGTCAACACTTAGAGGCGACAGTCTATTTCATGCTAGATGCAATCGTCAGGCCTGACGTTTGCATCTAGCATGAAACGTTTGCATCTAAGTGTTGACTTCTATGTTCACTTTCATATATATATATATATATATATATATATATATATATATATATATATATGTGTGTGTGTGTGTGTGTGTGTGTGTGTGTGTGTATTCCGTTTACGTTGTTTCTATAGATACAGTTATTTAAGTAAATGCTCTGTTCATAATAAACAGTACTAACTGCATTTCCCGGTCTGAATATCCGAGAAATTTCGTAGAAAATATATGTCCTCCAACAGGAATCGAACCTTTATCTTTTGAGCAGATACGATATTTGTAAACATACGAATTTTTAATTTATTGTATTTTCAACTAATGAATAAATATACTTATCATATAATTAACTGTACACAGATTCATAATAACGCACAGAAAACAGAAAAAAATGATTTAATATAAAAAAAAGTCCCATTTATCCATTTTAAGTATTGCAAGCTATAAAAAAAATCAAAACTATTGAAAACCAAAGAAGTGACACAAGGTCGTTTAACGTGGAAGACCCGAGTGTTTCCACTCAAAGACCACTGGTCAAAATTGGTCATAGCTTGTCCAAGCTGGTCAGAGCCTAGTCAAAGCTGGTCATGACTTGACCTAGCAAGTCCAGGCCGGAGCCAGTCCAAGCTAGTCGAAGCCTTGATCGAATCTCAGCCATAGGCCAAGAAACGATCCAATATTTGTCAAAAACCCCAACGAAAAAATTCGTCGGAAGAGTTAAACCAAAGAAGAGTAGGTGAGATGGTGATGCCTTCAAACAAAAGTACACAGTTCTAACAGTGACATTTGCTGGTGACAGTTTCTGGGTTTGGGGATGTTTTCTTTTCTTTCTTTTTTTCTGTAAAAGGTACTGGCAACATATCAGTAATAGATGGTAGAATGAATGCAACAGAACAGTAATTAAGCTTTTTAAAAAAAGAGGGAACACTAGAAAGAACTAGATCGGGAGGTCACAACAGCAAGAGGGATCATTATTTATACTTAGAGATGAAGAGATCAATTAGAAAAAGATCATAAGACCTTTGGGACGTGAGAGATGAGTTTCAGCTACGACAGTACAAAGAGTAGTGAAAAATAACTTGAAAATGAAATGATTAATTGATGATGAACATGCCATTTTCGCTTATGAAGGATTTGATCACAATTCTTCTGTCAAGCTTGAAGAATAATTACACATTCTTATTGCTCAAAATAGAGTTCAACAGTGTTATAAAAATCTCGGAGAATTCCAGTCCGATTTGGGCTATTTTGCTGTTACCCGCGGTATATATATATATATATATATATATATATATATATATATATATATATATATATTCTAGAAGCATGGTCTGGCGTTGATTCAGAAATCGTATGACTCATACAGCAATCTTTATCACTTGTCTTAAAATATTTTTGCCTTTCCTTGCCTTTAAACGAGTGCCCTTTGCCGTGCTGATGTTGCTACATGCCTTACTTCTTGCCTATCTCACACTGCGGAGTTTTTCTAAGCTCTATACTAAACATTAAATCGGTTACGAAAAATGAACTAAACAAAATGAACACAAAAAGATCAGCTTTAAAAAAAGGACTCATAACTGGAAAAACTGAATGAAAAAAGAATGTTAACAACAAATACTTTACACACCCAACCCAGTTCTGCGGAATCAGAATCAATGTTGAGTCTAAGCAAGCGAATGAGCCAAGTGGAGTAAAGTGCCATGCAGATTTTAATTTTTCCCACTTGTGACGAATGCAGCTATCGATTTTTTTTGCATGCTAGCATGCTAGTTAACATTCGTGTCAGTCAGCTGTTGGCTCTCACTCTGGCCAGTAGAAAATGGCCGCAAACTACATGAAAACGTTTCAATTATCTCCTGTTAATTCCCCTCTCCAAGTTCTCCGCCGCCTTACGTAGGTATTGAACTCACACTCTTTGACTCCTGTCACAAGATCTAACTAACGCTTTTATCCACTGTACTATGTGTCCTCATGGACTCTTGACACAGTGGATAAAGGCGTTAGTTAGGTGGAGAACTTGGAGAAGAGAATTAACAGGAGATAACTGATAACTGACATCCATTAGACATGGCACGTGGAACTAGAACAGTCTACACAAATAATAAAGGGTGTCTACGAAATAAAGTGTTCAGTTCGACATTCCAACCACCTGAAGAAGGCCGGAGCGTACAACGGCCGAAACGTTGTAATAAATATGGCGACAAAGATGAGGACAATAGTCTGAATAATGTATATAGTGTACATAATAGCTCATCTCAGCAATATAGACAGATACTCAGTTAAAAACTTTTTGAAAACCGAAACTTGTTAAAGTATAAAAAGTATTTAAAAAAATGGAAAATAAACTATTTTTCTAAGAAAAAAAAAACAGTGAAAATTCATTTTTTTAGCGATATAAGTCTTAATAGCTTATCCATATCTGGGGAGAAAAGAGGTGGACTCATGTCGTTCCCAAGTATTTCCCCATAAGTGAATATAACTAAATCAACTGGAATTGGAACTCGGCATTTGATTAAAAATTCCGAGCCATTATCCATTGCACCACCCGCACAGCCTAACTTAGAGTACCTGATATTCCCAAACGGATATCCATGAGGCACTACCAGCCTTAACGTTAGTTAACTTCGGTGATCGTACAGGAACCGATGTTTCAACGTGATAGGGCCGTAAATCGTAAGTAATGTGGAACAACAACATCATGTCGATTATACGATTATTTTCTCTTCGAGTTACAAGTGCTATCCGTTTTAGCTGTTGCTGCTTTTGAAAGTTCTCAAGTAATGCGGTTTCTGTTATTTGATAAAGTTTTTTGTCATCCTGTGGCGCCCTCTCACGAGATTCAAAGAAAAAAAAAGATTATCGCTAAGATAAACAGGCTTCCTTCACTCAAACTTATTTTAATCATTGATCTGAGAAAGCGGTTGTATAGATCTGTCAGTTGAGATATTTCTGAGGAGATAGGCGCCATGCATGACATCCATATGAAAGTCTAACGAGAGGCGATTTAAGAACGACTCGAGAAAACGAAAAACAGAATGAGATAATACGTTTGCCCAATAGTGATTGCTGACATTAAAGTTCTTACACCATATATTTCAATTTCATTTCGGTTGAATGAAGAACCCCCCGCAAGATTGTTGTATCTAAAGATACTGAGGAAAGTGCTGAGGATTTGAAAAGTCATGCTGCCAATCAGGAGGGAGATGCAAACACCTTAAATAAAAATGACTAAAATTTCTTGATATGAATACAGATTAGTTTTCCAACCCCATGAAAATTAGTTTTAAGCGGGATAAAATAATGAACCTGGTATGAAAATGAAGTAAATTCATTTCTTTAAAAAAAATCGCGATAGCTGATTGGAAGATTTACAATTCTATAAAACAAATTTAGACCAGATAGAATAATGAAATTGATTGTAGCCCTTTTTTCTGCATCTTGGCTTCAGTAACTTCCCCTCTGTCATAACCTTGTGCCTTTTCTATAAATAATCTCATGGAAGGTGTTCTGATGAGCACTTTGGACATATGGAGACTAGTTAGGATTTTCATAGAGACAATGTGGCATTATGGTGAATGTTCTAAGAATGGTAAGCAAGAATGCGTTGTTTTCGTGTAAGGAATATTGTTATATGTTTGGGTCAGCTAGGTTTAATGTTAAGACAGTAGAAGACCATCCTTTTTCCCCATGACACTTTTTGGCCTTGAGCTACATTTTGTAATTTTACGAATAAATAATGCACTTTGTTAGCTAGATTTTATGAATTTAAAAGTGCAGTACTAGACTAGCAACAAGGTCTCATCCTTTTACAGCTGAAATGGCTAGATGTAACCGTAAGTCCTATATTAATAGATTCTTGTATCGCACTTCTCGCCTGTGGAACTCTCTTCTGGCTAATTGCCTCCCAATCAACTTTGATCTTTAAAACTTCAAATGCAATGCTAATCTTTATCTTCTGTATTTTTATATATTGTCCTTTTATTGTTTTTTCATATTCTCTAACACTCAATAACCACCCTTGCGTCTTAGTGGCTTTACTGCTTGAGGTAAAATGATTATAAACACACACACACACACACACACACACACACACACACACACATACATACATACATACATAAGTGGGGTTTCTTTCTCCACTGGTTCTTTAATGAACCTAAAAAACTAGTTGTTTCTCATCCGATCACCGAAGTTAAGCAACTCTGAAACTGGTTAGTACCTATATGGGTGACCGCTCGTGAATACCAGGTGCTGTAAGCTTGGGTGTGCGGATAACGGCTCGGAATGGAAAATGGGAAAGCCGAGTTCGAATTTTAGTCGGGTTCAATACATAATCTCATGAGCAAATACCCTTGGGCAAGTTATGAATCGACCTCTTCTCCAAGTTATTGGTTAAATACTATAACTTGCATTAGAAAATCATTATTGTCCCCAAAAAGGTCATGTAATTCAAAAATGTGTTTTGGCTGTAAATAACCTTAAAATGGTTAATGATCCGAAAAAGAAAAACAGGTAAAAGTATTGTTGGCTGCTTGCCACGAGAAAAGGTCAACATTTTTATATATTCTTCTTCTCCTTCTCTCTCCCCTATTTCCAACTGCAGTCAAAAGAGTTTCACATTCAAAGGAAACAGCCTTCAATGAAAACATTATTGTAACAGTTCCACTGCTATGAAATTATATTCTCAAGGCTCAAGGTGGTACAGCTCAAGTCAGCCTCACTTTGTGATGGAGACACCAACTATGTCCGTCTTTCTTTTTGGTTCAGAAATATGTTATGGGAAGTAAGAATAGGAACGGTTCAAAATGGTCCGGGTCAATTCAGCCAATCCCTGAATTGGGAAACCCAACTATATCCGTCTTTCTTTTTGGTTCAGAAATAAGTTATGGGAAATAAGACTAAGAACGGTTCAAAATGGTGTAGGTCAATTCAGCCAATCCCTGAATTGGGAAACCCATGTCCGTCTTTCTTTTTGGTTCAGAAATAATTTATGAGAAGTAAGAAGACGAACGTATAAAGCTGGTCGAGCTCAAGTCAACTTTATGCTGAATTGAGAAGACCAATCCTGTACTTCATGAATCTTCTTCTTTTCTGTGCCGTGTCCCTTCAGGAAGTGGGCGATCATGGCTCTCCTCCCACTTCTGCCTCTTGTAGCTCTCAATAAGTTTTGTCTTTTTGTTATTTCTCCCAGACCTTGTTCTGCCATCCACTTGCTTAAGTCGGTTAAGTATATCACGCATTGCTTTCCCTTGTCCCTCTTATTTCTCTCTGATTATCAGATATTCCAAACCCTCCTTTCCCCTTACGTGTCCCAGAAATTTCAGCTCTCTCTTCCTGATGTTAAGTATAAGCTTCCTCTTGTTTGTATCCTCTCCAAAACCTCATTATTGCGCACACGCTCGGTCCATGGTATCCATCGCATCCTTCTGTAGAACCACACTGCAGATGCCTCGAGTCTCTTCTTCTTCATTGAGGAGACCGTCCAACATTCGTGACAGTAAAGGAAGACAGATATCATGTAGGAGTTCAGTACTCTTTTCTTTTTTTACCAACGTAATCCTGCTTAGGTTTTGAAAGACGTCTTTGGCCATCCCAATATGTCTTTGGATCTCAGTGTCGTATTTTCCGTCCTCTTAAAAACACTTCCCAGATATTCATATTACTGTACCTGCGTGATATTATTGCATTTTGCGCTCATCTTTTTGCTGATGACCATGCATTTTAGTTTACGCTTAGTCCCTTCTTCTCGCTCTCCGTCGCTTCCTTCTGTAGGAGGATTTGTAGTTACCTATCTCTGTCTGCTACCAGGACTGTGTCATCTGCATATTGTTAAGATTGTGTGTTCCAATGATGAAACCTGGTAGGATTTCTAGTTCTCTCAGAATTGCCTCCCTGTATAGGTGTCCAGTGTGTGAAGACAGAGCTGCTAAAACACGTCTGACGATGTGATTGATAAATGGATAACGTTCAGTCGTCAGTGAACTGGGGAAAATTAACATTCACTCAGTGGGGGACGCTATTATCGCATGGTTCACATCTTGAAGTCAAAAGGAGAAAGAGGCAGATTCAGTCATTTCCGGAAGTGGTGTCATAAAATCACACATGTGACCAGAAATCCTTCCCGGTTTTTTATGACTTGCATCATGGGAAAATTAATTTATTTTTATTCGTTATCATTATTTGATTTTTTGATTATTTTTAAAAAATTTCCCCCACAAGACGAGATAGAATAATAAAACCGTTACCAAACTAAAGTCAATTTATTTTCCTTTACATTTGCGAAGTTTGGGTGATACATAAATTTTCCAGTTCGATAACGTTTCAAAATCGCTTTTAATTTCAGGAGTGACAAGAAAATTAATGTTGCCAAATTGGGGTTATAAAGATTGTGTCATTCCGTTAAGTGCCATGCGTGATACATGACTGACGAGGCAGATTATTTTTTCCCGCAGTAGGCTACCATTTCTTTCTGCGGTAAACCAGTTGCCATCCAAGGCTATAGAACCCTGTCTATTTACTGGTGGGAGAAGAAGAGGATACATACATTTCCGAAGGGTATTATCACGTAAGTGGGTGTAATGGATTCGTCTGGAATTCGAACTCGGCTCTCCGATTACTCAGTCCGTGCTGCTATCCAGTCCCCTCCACCGTGCACATGGTGTACTACTACTACTACTACTACTACTACTACTACTACTACTACAACAACAACAATTTAAAAAAATAATTTCAAGTTTCGCCTTTCGTTTTCGTGATGTAAAGTCACTTCTCTTTTTAGACCTTGTGCTGCAGATTCTTCAGTATGCAAAAGTTTTATATATATGTGTGTGTGTGTGTGTGTGTGTGTGTATTTTCATTTGTATTTTGGCAGACGTTTCGTGAGAATAACTACAAATCGCTATTTCTTATGTAACTCAAAGATACTACCCCAGATTTATTGTATTAACATACAGCAATTGCGACAGGATTTTCTAAGCGTAGCTTAGATATGGCACAAGGCCGAAAGTGTGGAGCACCCAGTGAGGATCGAAATCACTATTCAGCCATAACAGATCTAGCGAAGCAAGCTTGTTAATCATTACACCACGTCAAAGTGCCTAAATATATTTCTAAGCGTAGCTTAGATGTGGCACAAGACCGAAAGTGTGGAGAATCGAACTCACTATTGAGCCGTAATGGCTCTACCAAGCATGCTTGTTAATCATTACACCACATCGAAGTGCCCTCTCAAAAACCTTGTCGACCATATCAGCTCCCATATTAGTTTTATTTGGAGCTTCAAAATATATTTTACGGGAACAAATTGAAGCAACGAGAGTAAACAGCAAAAATATAATATTTAAGCATGTCTATCGATCTGGAGATGATGACATTTTAACATTTGAATTTTAATATTTTAACATTTTTTCACATTTTAATATGTGAATGCGCATAAAAATATATTGGGGGGGTATACATCCATATATATATATATGTGTGTGTGTGTGTGTGCGCGCGCGCGCGTGTATCAAACATGGAAGTTCACCATAAAGTGTTAAAGATGTTATTTCTGGAGATATCATTTTCGAAAATAAATCCAGTTTTGGAATCATGTCTCTTCACGGGTGGGTGTAAAAACACGAAACTGAAAGACAAGATGAGAGTACATTTAATGGCGCGTATATATATATATATATATATATATATATATATATATATATATATATATAAGACACCCTGTATCTCAAACAGCGAGAATTGCATCAACCTCCTCGTGCAGTAGGAAGACCTTAATAATGAAAATGCATTTTCTTTATCCACGTTCTTTACGTAATTAATTCTGCTTAAATGTCAGGGCGTCTACTCAAAGATGGGTATTCTCAAAAACACATTTAGAATAGCAGAAATATATATATATATATATATATATATATATATATATATATATATATATATATATATATATATATATATATATATATATATATATATATATGGAGAGAGAGAGAGAGAGAGTAGGAGAGAGAATTAAATCAACTGTTACCTTTACTCTCAGTTTCATGGAATTACGTCCACTCTTGAAGACTTTCCTTTCTCGAATGTCTGGAACAGTCTCTACTGACTAACAAGCAAATACTAAAATGGACAGCATATGTAACTCGAAAAGAATGACATAATCAAAAGCTGACATTCCACAGTAATTTAAGCATAAAGTTAGGAAGGAAACCCCAATCAATAGTGGACAGTGATGGTCAACGAGTGGGAAATATTTCCTTGTGAGGAAACGGATAATATTTCCATTAACATTCTATTAAAATTATCTGGTGATTTTTCTGAAAGACTGAAACTTTTATTCTTTAAGATTTCAAATGTTTTACATGAGAGATGAGAAGCCTCCAAAGATTATCAAAGATTCCAAAACATGGCAAGGGCCATTCTTTTTGTCACCATCTAATCTTACGCTATAAAGTCACAAACAAAGGACTGTTCAAAACGACAAAACCTTGAAAAAAAACTTGAGCAACAAGTAAAATGGATAGCACATGCAACTCAAAGAGAAAATAATGACATAATTAAGATATTAACATTCTGCACTACTTCAAATAAAGAACTGTACCAAATAACAGAAACCAAACTACCAACATCAACAATTAAAATGGATAGCAAATGTAACTGAAAGAGAAAATAATGACATAATCAAAGGACTACTATTCTGCACAAATAAAGAACTGTACCAAATAAGAGAAACCACATCACTTGAGGAACCAACAAGCAACAATTAAAATGGATAGCAAATGTAACTCAAAGAGAAAAATAATGACATAATCAAGATATTAATGTTCAATATTTCAAATAAAGAACTGTACCAAATAAATAGAAACCACATCACTTGAGGACTAAACAGCAAAATAATTAAAATGGATAGCAAATGTAACTGAAAGAGAAAATAATGACATAATCAAGATATTAATGTTCTGCACTATTTCAAATAAAGAACTGTACCAAATAAGAGAAACCACATCACTTGAGGACTACCAACAGCAGCAACAATTAAAATGGATAGCAAATGTAACTGAAAGAGAAAATAATGACATAATCAAGATATTAATGTTCTGCACTACTTCAAATAAAGAACTGTACCAAATAACAGAAACCACATCACTTGAGGACTACCAACAGCAGCAACAATTAAAATGGATAGCAAATGTAACTGAAAGAGAAAATAATGACATAATCAAGATATTAATGTTCTGCACTTACTTCAAATAAAGAACTGTA